ACTAAGTGAAAGAACATAAAGGCTATATCTACACTTGGAGCTGATTCCCAATTTGAGTAGACATACTTGGGCTAGTTTGATAGCAGCTAGCATGCTGTAGCCATGGCAGCACACGCAGTGGCCATAGGCACACGGGCTAGCTGTGCTGAGTACAAACCCAACTGGATCCTGTGGGTACATACTCCTGGTGGCTATTGCCACTGCCCAGGCTACTGTGGCTACACTACTCATTTTCGTTGGCTAGCTCAATGAGAGGTCCTGGGAATCACACCCCCAGCTCAAGTGTAGATGTAGTCTAAAACAATATTTAATAGGCAGCTGCTGTAAAAGAAATTTGATTGCTTTTTACCTGTGTTGTCATAATATGTGTACACTTAGGGAAGGAAAAAAATATTTGCTATTTTCCAAGAAACTTCATGTTAATTACCATAGGAACTTTCCACGTAACCAATCTTGAAAAGTGCATTCAGTGCAAAGAGATGCGATTCAGCATTAAGACTGGAAAGGTCTGAGACAGAGAGCAGTTCATGCATGAAAAGGCTAAACTTCATACTGCTTTTCTCAGCTTTATTTATTGTCCTCTTGAATTTCCTGGCTGAAATTAATTAATTCCTGTCATTTCTATTTCAGCAATTTGTAAAAACCAAGTCCATCATATGCAGCTTGAGAATACAGACAGATGGGTACAAAGACGGGAAAGATAGGCTTAGAGTGACAACTAGTGTTCAATTTTGTTTCTTTCTTTCCAGCTTAATAGAAAAAACAGAAAACAAGAGACAAAGTGGGTGAGGTAGTATCTTTTATTGGACCATCTTCTCTTAGTGAGAAAGACAAGATTATGAGCTTACACAGAGCTCTTCAGGGCTGGGAAACTTACTTAGGGTATGTTTATGTAATTATGTAATTATGTAAACCAAAGTTAGTTGACATATGTCCACTTCAGTAATTAAATTGCTTTTGCATGTCCATGCTATGCTCCTTGTGTTGGTATTGCGCATCCTCACCAGGAGCACTTGCAACAATTGAACTGTCAGTGTGGGGCATAGTGGGATGGCTTCAGAAAGCCAGCAGCAGTCAACGTGAGCAATGCAGGGTTTACCCTGACACTGCATCAGACAAAATATATCAACCTAAGCACTACACCTCTCACGGAGTTGGATTTATTAAGTCAGCATAGGGTGAGTTACATCAGCGGGAGTGACATTTTAGTGTAGATGCTGTGGCAAATTGCCAGCATTACTGTGATGGGTCTCACACTTTCTTTTCTTGGGGTGACATTCAGGGCACAGTTTCTTGCCCCTGAACTGGGGTATTAACTGCCCCACTAGTGTCCTAGACTAGTGGAGAGGGAGGGACCTGGGCCCACCCTCTACTCTGGGTCCCAGCTCAGGGGCCCTAGCGATAGCAGTAAACCACTTGCACTAGCGGTTCCTTCCCCAGGCTACTTCCCTCTCCTGCCCTTCAGCTTATGGGGCTTCCTGCCCTCCCTCTGCACAAACCAGGTGTCCCTTTACCTAGGGTCTTGGTCTTCTTAGCCCACCACAGCACTTCTCCAAACTCTCCTCTACTTCCCTCCAAACTGCTCTCTGCTCCAACACCAATCCCCTCTGCTTCACCTCCTCCAAACTGCTCTCTGCTCCAACACCAATCCCCTCTGCTTCAACTCCTCCAAACTGCTCTCTGCTCCAACACCAATCTGCTCTCTTTCACCTCCTCCAAACTGCTCTCTGCTCCAACACCAATCTACTCTGCTTCAACTGCTCCTCTTGTCTGATTGAAGCAGGGGGGTTTTATCAGGTGACTGGCTTCAGGTGCTCTAATTGGCTTCAGGTGCTTTAATTAATCTACAGCAAACTTTCTTCCCTCTACAGGAAATAAGAGTCCCTTCTCACACTCTCCTGTTGCCCTTTGGCCATGCTGTATCACAATGCTTAAACTGAAGTGAGCTGTAGGTCACGAAAGCTTAAGCTCAAATAAATTGTCTCTAGGGTGACTCTGTTAGTCTCTAAGGTGCTACAAGTACTCCTTTTCTTTTTGAGAATGCTTAAAGAGTTAGGTTGATGTAAGCTGCCTTGCATCGACCTAACTCTGTGGTGTAGATCAGGGGTTCAGAGTGTCACTGCTAAATACAAGGTGAACAAAGTGTTTGGCATAAGTAGATAACACATATTTCAAGGGACCATTCAAGATAAAGTGACCCATTAACAGCCCTCTAGTCATAGGGAGAAATGCAAGTGGCAGGGGAAAAGCAACTGAGGAGGGGAGTTGTTAGCGGGTTATAGATTGTTTTCATAAGTCATAAATCCAGTGTCTCTGATCTGTCCATGACTTTTAGTGTCTAGCAAAGTTATTAATTTAAGCTGTCAGGGTCATTTTTTGGAAGTGGTGTGCAGGTTTCCTTTGAGGATGAGGACGGATAGGTCAGATACGGAGTGATCGCTTTGTGAAAAGTGTTCACCCACAGGTGATGTGGTGTTTTTGCCTTTTGTCATTTCCTGTGTGAGTTCATTCAAGAGCATAGGGGTTGTCTGGTTTTACCCATGTAGCTGTTATTGGGGCATTTCTTGCACTAGATGAGGTATACCACATGTTGTGATAGGCATGTGTAGGACCCATGGATCTTGAAAGATTGTTGTGGGTGGTGTTGATCACTGGAGCAGTGGAGATATGTCTGTAGGTTTTGCATCTGTTGTTCTGGCAGGGTCTGGTGCCGCTTTGAGTTGGTGTGTCCTGGTCTGTGGGGAGCTTGCTTCTCACAGTGAGCTTGGAGAAGTTAAGAACGTAAGAATGGCCATACTGGGTCAGACCAAAGGTCCATCCAGCCCAGTATCCTGTCTGCAGACAGTGGCCAATGCCAGGTGCCCCAGAGGGAGTGAACCTAACAGGTAATGATCTAGTGATCTCTCTCCTGCCATCCATCTCCACCCTCTGACAAACAGAGGCTAGGGACACCATTCCTTACCCATCCTGGCTAATAGCTATTAATGGACTTAACCTCCATGAATTTATCTAGTTCTCTTTTAAACCCTGTTATAGTCCTATTCTTCACAACCTCCTCAGGCAAGGAGTTCTACAGGTTGACTGTGCGCTGAGTGAAGAAGAACTTCCTTTTATTTGTTTTAAACCTGCTACCCATTAATTTCATTTGGTGGCCCCTAGGTTGGGTGGTTGTTTGAAGGCCAGAAGAGGGGGTTCAAGAAAGATTTCTTTCAGGATGGGTTATAGTTGTTGGATGATACCTCTTATGGGTTCCAGTGTGGGGTGGTAGGTGACAACTAGGTTATGAATTTCCACCACAGCTTCAACAACCACCACCTGTACATTAAACTCTCTTTGGAACACTCCCACACTAGCATCAACTTCCTGGACACCAGGATCAGCAACGGAACTCTACAGGCAGCTACATACAAGAAACAAATGGATCACCACACCTACCTTCATAGATCCAGTAACCCCTCCAAACACACCCAGAAATCTGTTATCTAAAGCCAGCACTCAGATACCACAGAATATGCTCCAAGGAGGAAGTCCGGGATATAGACCAGAATACAGTTCAAACCACCGTCACCAAACAAGGACACTCCACAAGAAAAGTAGATCGCATCATGGAATGAGCCACTCAAATACCCCAAGAGAATCTGCTTCAGTACAGAAATATTCCCGTCCCCCCCAAGATCACACACACCTAGTTGTCACCTATTCGGGTGGTTTGGAGTCATTAATTTTAATTTTGCAACCCCATCACCAGGGGTGCTGGAACAATTTGTATAGTGGGGGTACTGACAGCCATTGAACCAAACTGTAAACACTGTATATGATGGAAACCACTTCAAGCCAGGGGGTGCAGCAGCACCCCCAGCACCCCTAGTTCCAGCACCTGTGCCAACCACAATAGCTCCAGTGCCAAACCTTAATTCCTTTAGCTTCACCCAACCCTATCAATACTATGTAATAATAATGTAGTATAACATCAGAATAGAGATCGGAGGTTCCTTCAAATGTTTTGTAACCTGACATCCTACAGTTGTGATTACCTCTTTCACCAGGATCTTATCTCTTATAGAGAAAAATGCACGCAGTTTTTCCCAGCAGTATTTACTTATAAATATATAACAGGTGCTTTTTACCTCAGTTACAATTAAGCTATATTACTATTACAATATAAAATCACCTAAGGTATGATTCTATTAATTGTTTCCATGGTAAGTATATAAACTCCCACAAAGTCTTTTAAAAATGCTAGGCCTAATTCTGTACTGCCTTGTTTTTGTGAAGTCATTTAGGCTGACATTTTCAAATTTTCATTATACTATGGGAATTAGGTGGTCAAATTCCATTGAAATGTAATGGGAGTTTTGTGTTTATTTGAAAATCCCAGGCTTACAGCAATGCAAATTTGGGTGTAAGATGTTGCCATTTTTATTTGATTTGGTCTATTTGCACTCCACACGTGGGCAAATGGCTACTCAAGGTGCAAAGCATGCCTTCTGTCAGTAGAAAGCAGAACCCCATTACATAAATACTAGAGCTGTGCAAAGGATTTCCCGATGTTGAATTTTTTTCATTCTGAATTGGAATGAAAACCAAAAAATTTAAATTCTCCATAAAGGAAAATTGAGGGGGAAATTCTAAATGTTTCTTTTAGATTTTGATATTTTAAAATGTGTTGTATTGTATTATAATCTAGAATAGAAAATACAGAATGCAAAACAAAACATCATTTAAACATGAAAAACTGAAAAGTTTCATTCAGAAAATATTGCAATGGGACATTTTGACATTGTTGGAAATTTTTTGCATTCTTTTCCTAAACAAAATTCTGGTGAAATTGACCCAATTTCATGAAGTATTTTGATGGAACTGCTAGTTCTGTTCTCTGCCGACCACTGATCAGTTTAATAGAATTAAGCAGGACATTACTAATTTGCAGGTATCACTTATAAATTTCTTAAACTTAGAGATCAATAAAAGCAGTAAAACATAAATGTACTATGTGTTACCTCTTCTCCTTCTTCAATATGATAATCCTTCCTTTGGTTTGGTCCTCCAACAAACATCACATTCAGCTGCTGACAGTGCCTGGAAAAAATATTTTAAAGAGATCAGTAAGAATATCTTGCATTTCTATATTTCATCTGAGGATTTAGAAGTATTTTACAGCCAATAACTAATTTATTAAATAGTTTAGGCAATATGGCCCAGTGAATAGGCCCCTGGACTGGAATTCAGGAGACCTGGGTTTTATAACATGCTTTGAGATCTAAAGATGAAAAGTGCTATATGAGAGCTAGGTATTATTATTGTTGCAATATCACCTAATCAAACTAGAAGTTTGTAAGTAAAATGTAATGCTTCACAGCTAGTAAAGTTACTGAAAGCTATTGATGTTAAGAATGTTGGTCCTGAATCCTCTCTCGCTTACACCACTCTTACAATGGTGCCACAGGAATGAGTTCACCAGAGTTGCACCTGATTCTAAAGTGGTGGAAGTGAGAGGGGAATCAGGCCCTCTGTCTAATTCTGCCATGCTTATGAATTCTGATGAGCACTTTTTCTCTCAGCTCTACTACTCTGAATGCCAAAATTAGCCTTCAGGCAGCTCCCTTCAGGCCAGACTGTACCTCCAAGTTCCATGTGCAGAAGGGACCTTCTATGTGTGGATCTCACCCTTCCCCCAGGTCAGCAGCCAGAGGTATTACATTTCCCAGGTAGTATCTTACACCACAGAGAGACCCCTACTGAAGGGGATGCTGGGAATAGAGCTGGGAACAGCTCTGGCTGGGAAGTCCTTGGTAGTCCAGTTGCAGTGGAGCAACACTACCATGAAATGCAACTCCGGGATGAGAGCAGGGGGACACAGAGCTACCACAGAGATAGAGAAGCAATCTGTTCACATTGAATCTGGGCCTCAATGCTGAGTGTGTTGTCACCATGCCTACACTCAGCCATCTTCAACAGAGTCATGTTAGGAGAGTTTCTGAGATGTTGGAACATGCAAGTCAACTGACTCGGGCTCACAGGGCTTAAGCTACGAGGCTAAAAATAGCAGTGTAGACGCTCCTGGTTGGGCTGGAGCCCAGGTTCTGAGACCCCCTTCCCTCACAAGGTTTCAGACCCCAGGCCTAGAGCTGGTGCTAGCCCATTGGGGCCTAAGCAGGCATATTTTCCACCCCCCAACACTAAAACAGGCAAGTTCTTATAATAAAAAGCAAATAGGGGGCCCTCTTGAGCTGCTCAGGGCCTAAGCAATTGCTTAGTCTGCTTTTGCCAAGTGTGGGCTCTGCCTGGCCACCAGCCCAAGCGGGAATGCTGCTATGTTTAGCCCCGTAGCATGAACCCAAATCCGTTGACCCGGTCTCTGAGACTTGCTGTTGTGGGTTTCGGGAGACTCCTAAGTCACTTAGGCATTTTTGAAAAGGTTGCCCACTGTGATAGAAATGGTGACAGGATCACCACCTAATGCACCTCACACAACTGATTTTAGTGTGGAGATAGAACCAAAGTTTTGAAATAATTTCAGAAATCTGCTAGCCATTTTTGCCATAGACCCTGGAGTCCTTTTAAAAGCCCTGCCGACATTTTGATAGAGACAGGAGAATGGCAGAGAGAAACTTAGGAGCCACAGGTATTTATTAGACAAATTCGGTCTCTTTCACCGTAGGCTGAGGTTACATTGAGAGATGAACATTTTCCAAAAACATTCACCATTATTTAACCAGCTCTGGTACAGCGTGGCACAGATTGGTTGATGCTGGTCACCCTAATGGGAATGATTTTTTCATTCTGACTTCTCTGAGATTCCCCTGCACAAGAACAATTTTCTGAAGCTTTGCAGAGAGATTTGAGCCAAGGCAGGAAGAGTGTTTAGGGGTGGGGGAAAAAAAGTTTGCAGCAACAGCAAAGTAGATATCCCTTATTGATGAAGAGCAGAAAGGAGGAATAGTCAAAATACTTCAACAATAGCACAGGTGCTGTGGTTCAAAGGTGCTATTGTTAAGCTGAGAAATGAAGCCACCTTGCAAAAGTATAGCAGAATTCATTTTAAATGAATATTTCAAACTAATAATTGAATGAAAGAAATCAGAAACAGAAGACACTTTCTTGTGCTCTTTCATGCCATGAGATCTACTCAGACCGAGCATTTTTGTCTTTCTTTCTGTCTACAATAGAACATCAAACGGTACTTTCAATAGATGAGGGAATGTGCACATCCTCCATGAAATCTGTATCTTGGCATAGTTACTCAGAAAAGCAAGCATTTACACACAGTCATGAAAAGCATTAATATTCCTTAACTGTCAGAACCGGCTATTCGGCTTTCAATTTACAAGGAATCCTTTGGGGTAGGAGAAAAAGAAGTGGTTCCTGGAAGTTTTGTTCATTTGCAATTTCCTTTCGATGGATTAAAACATATATCACAGAAAATAAAAGGAACATAATACAATGTGAAAATTGGATTATAATATAAAAACATTATAATATATATAAAAAAGAGGGATAGGAAATGGAAACTCTTCTTAAGGAGACCCTTCTTTTCTGATTCATGTACTGTAGGTTCAGAAGCAAACACATTACTCTTTATTCCACTGACATAAGAAATAATTGTTATTACTGTGATTGGAAGAAGGTGCCAAATTCTGGACCCTGGCACAGCCACACTGCAAGTGTCCACACCGGTGCTTTTCTCAGTGAAACTTATGTCACTCGGAGGGGTGTTTTTTCATACCCCTGAGCGACATAAGTTATAACGACAGAAGTGCTAATGTAGACATAGCCTGAGTCACAGTCAGGAAACTGAATAGGCCGGAGCAGCTCGCAGAGCCCCCAGCTGACAGTGGTGGTAATGAATTTAACTCGCTCAGCATCCCTCTTCTTCCCTACCCCCTGGTTTTATGGATTACTCTGCTATTCTTTGATTGTAATAATGGGGTCATCCTTCACTTCTGGAGCTGGAGTGGCCCCTCTCTCACTGCTGGAATGGCTTTCGCCACCAAGTCTGGAAACACAAAGTGGGGGGGAAGTAGTGGTAATTTATTAGGTGAATCTCATAATTCACGAGTGTGATCCTATGAGATTTTTCTCCCATAGGGCCTAATCCAAAGCCCACTGAAGTCAGTAGAAAGAGTGCTGTAGACGTCAATGAACTGTGGATCAGGGCCATATATTGCAGTGTGCTGAACACAGCACTCCATCTATTTTAAAACATTAAACAGTTTTCAAGCACTTTCTGTCTTTTAAAAAAAAAGCCTGTGCCCAGACAGGAAGAACAATTTTATCCACACTCATTAATCTTTCCCATTTGCATGAAATTTACAGCAGGTTCCTTTTATCCCTGAGAATATTCAAGGTAAAACAAGATCTTCATTTACTTACATAAGCTTATTGCAGACGGGGGGCAAAAAAGCAGCTTTGTTTTCTTCTATCCATTTTCTTACATTTACAAGCAGCTCCATGGCTCACCAGCAATGAGACTTTTGGGGAAGGTAATGAGCTGGCACAGAAGTATGCAGCCTGCACTCTGGTTAGGTTATTCCCACCACAGAGCTCTGGTGATTGGCTGATAAGATAGAGTTCTTCAGGCTGGGGTGACAAAGGGAACTACTTGGTTCGATCAGCCAAAGGTTATTTTGTAGAGCAAACTATATTCTGGTAGCTTAGGCAATAATCAACTCATGCATTTCAAAAACATCTAGATCTTTGCTTAGCTCTGTTTAAACATATTAACTCTGTGTGCGTCTGTTAGCAGGGCTAGAAGAAGACAAGCATTCCATTTTTATTCATCATATTGTTGAAAGTACAGGTTAAATGTCAGTCAGTAGCATTATCATGAAAACAATATATATATATATGACAGAGAGATTTATTTTTTTTAAATAGATATTCCTGAAGCACTTAAGAGTGGAATAATGCACTGATTTGTTCATGATATTTAGTTCTCATAACTTGTCACAAGTGCAACTAGAGAATTTAAGTCAGATGTCAACGGGTTAGTATTGTAAGAAATCCACAGCTCCCTGGGAACTACACAGTTGTTACTATGTCAACTCGAAATGTTAGGAACGTCCTGCTACCAAAGCACAGAGCTGAAGGAGAATCTCCATTAACTGTTAACAGTACAGGGCCCTGATACTGTAGATCAGTTCTGAATCCACATAGCAGAAGGCATTGCTAAATATTACAGTATTGCCTTTGAATCCTGAAACATCAGGAATGGGGATGTACATTTTTGAACTCTCAGATGGTGCATGACTAAGCAAAATGGGGGTAATTTTTTCTTAGGGTCAAATTTTCAGAATGTGATATCTATTGCTGAATTATCCAAAGTCAGTAATACAGATATTTGTCTTGGGCACTATCATTAGCTTGTGTACTTACTAGAATTTATATATAAAAAGGCAGATTCTGACTGGGTTATATCAGGGCAAATCTGGAGTAACTCTATTGAAGTCAATTGAATCCTGCCTACAAATTCCATTTGTGCATGTAAACAGAGTTTGTACTGAGTACAAGGGGGTTTTGTGGGTATGAGCGCTATCATTTGTGCATACAACTGTCAGTGTGCTAAACTGTGTGTACGTAGAATTTCATGTGCACAAATGGTGGCTAGGTTGAGGCCTTTGAAAATATAACCCTTAAAGGAGAACTGTGAAAAGTGGGAGCAGTAATAGTTGCAAAACATCCTCTCTTGAAGCAGGAGTGTCCTTCCCTAGATGGGCAGACCTAGTGGACATCACTATGTTATGTGTACATTAGAGTTCTTTATACAAAAAATTCCCACAGTTGCTAATGCTGATGCAAGCTCAACCAGTAGCCGCAATACAGGGGTCCTTAGCATTTTAGGCTCCATGTAGACTCACTTCTGAATTTATCACCTTCTGTTTATGATTCTACATAAGTTTGATGACAGAATGTGGGGCTGTGACTTGACTATCATGAAATTCTTATGGCGGGGACGGGGGGGGGGGTGCAATCTGTTGTTATCAGCTTGTTGGGTAAACAACAAGTGGCAAACTGGCTGTGAATTATTAGGCATTACTGTGGTCTCATTAGTAAGTACAGATCTGTTTGTCATTCTCTGAACACCTGGGGTAGTTTCTGTTCTGTTTTCACTCTCAGTTCCTGGGGGATTTCCCACTGACTTTTATAAAGAAACAAACATATAGATTTTTTTTACCAATTAAAAAAATATTTTTGCATTGGTGACAAAAATAACAGTACAAAATTTACAAGGACTTGTTTCTTCTTGTCATAGCTTAGTCTTCCTAATATTTATATAATATGTATATATATTAAGGGGTGGCAACATGGTTTCTGCTTAAAGCTGAATTTTACATTCTCACTGAATTGCACATATGTGGCCAGATTGGCTTGAAAATTGATATGTTAAAGGGTAAAGTGCAAATATGTGGTAATTTGATCCAGGTGTTCCTTACACAGGAACTTGTCTACACAGGAAAGCTATACTGGTATAAACTAAGGGCATGGCTACACTTGCAGATGTAGAGTGCTTTGAGTTAAACCTGCCTTCATAGAGTGCAGTAGGGAAAGAGCTGCAATCTGTCCACACTGACAGCTGCAAGCGCACTGGCGTGGCCACGTTTGCGGCACTTGCAGCGGCATTGGGAGCGGTGCATTATGGGCAGCTATCCCACAGAGCACCTCTTCCCACTCTGGCGCTGTGGCTTGTGGGAAGGGGGCGGGAAGTGCGGGGCATTCTGGGTCCTGTCCCAACGCCCCGTGATGCATCGGTTCGCATCCCAGCATTCCCTTTGCTTCCGTCCACATTTGGCACCATCTTTCAACGTTTTTTGTATCGCAAGCTCTGTCTTCCCTTTTGGTCAGCGGGAATGGAGCCCTAACTGCTGAGGAGTATGCTGACGAGTCTCTCCAGCACATCACGTTTGGCAGTCGAGTTATTTCTTATGATGACAGTGAGGGCTCCGACGATGATATCGACTTGAGTAACACATATGACATGAGTTTGCTTGTGGCATTCATGGACATGCTCACGGCCATGGAACGCCACTTTTGGGCTCGGGAAACAAGCGCTGAGTGGTGGGATCACATCGTCATGCAAGTCTGGGATGACAAGCAGTGGCTGCAGAACTTTCGGATGAGAAAAGCCGCTTTCATGGGACTGTGTGAGGAGCTCGCCCCCAACCTGCGGTGCAAGGACACGAGATTGAGAGCTGCCCCAATGGTGGAGAAGCAGGTGGCTATTGCAATCTGGAAGCTGGCAACTCCAGACAGCTACCGATCGGTCGCTAACCAGTTTGGAGTGGGGAAGTCAACCATTGGAATCATGTTGATGCAAGTTTGCAGGGCCATTAATCACATCCTGCTCAGAAGAACTGTGACTCTGGATAACGTGCATGACATTGTGGATGGCTTTGCACAAATGGGTTTCCCTAACTGTGGAGGGGTGATAGATGGCACGCATATTCCAATTCTGGCACCAGCCCACCTAGCCTCCGAGTACATTAATCGGAAGGGGTATTTCTCTACGGTTCTCCAGGGGCTTGTGGCTCACCATGGGCATTTCATTGGCATTAACGCAAGCTGACCCGAAAAGGTGCATGATGCACGCATCTTTCGGAACACTGGCCTCTTCAGGAAGCTGCAAGCTGGAACTTTTTTCCCAGACCAGAAGATCACCATAGGGGAAGTCGAAATGCCCATTGTTATCCTTGGAGACCCCGCTTACCCTTTAATGCTGTGGCTTATGAAACCCTACACAGGGAACCTTGACAGCAGAGAGGAGCGGTTCAACAACAGGCTGAGCCACTCCAGAATGACTGTGGAGTGTGCTTTTGGCCGTTTAAAGGGCCTCTGGCTCTCTCTGTATGGGAAGCTGGACCTAGCCGATGACAGCATCCCTGCAGTTATATCCGCGTGCTGTACCCTCCATAACATTTGTGAAGGGAAGGGTGAACGATTCACTCAGGCATGGAACTCGGAGGTTCAACACCTGGAGGATGAATTTGAACAGCCAGAGAGCAGGGCTATTAGAGGATTAGGGATGCCTTGAGGGACCAATTTGAGGCTGAAAGCCACCAGTAATGTCTGGTGCCCTGCACGGGAGTGAAGTGCAGTGGTTCCAATGTTAGTCGGAATCTGTGTTTGCTACGCTGACTTGCAGTGCCTGTTTCTTTCCTGGGCTAAGGTATCTTTTACTTTATGCAATAATAAAGAATGTTTTCAAAGCCAAAAAATCCATTTATTGAAAATAAAATTCATTTATTGAAAAGAAACACAACTGCTTGGGAAACAGAAAGGGCAAGGGGGTGGGGTGGGGAATGGTACAATCACAGATTTGCATATGACCTGTTATGATACTCAGCCTTCCTGTCTGGAGTGCTTCACTTCAGGATGGCTATACTGCATGGTGATGGGGGTTGAGTGCAGTTGGTAAGGGTCGTAGTTTTCAGGGCTGGGTGGTGAAGCTCCAGGTATTGGAGGCAGCTGGTGGCGGTAAGAACCCGGATGTTGGGGAAAGTAGGTTGGAGGTGACATGGGGGCACAAGGGAAAGAGTTTTGGGACAAGGGCTGCAGGGAGGTGCGGGTGCGGTAGTGCTCCGCCTCCATTGCTACGAGCGCCTGGATAGAGTCCGCTTGGCGCTCCATTATGCTTATTAGCCAATCCGTGCTTTGCTGCCAGAGCACCACGCTTTTGTGCCGGCACTCCTCATTCTGCTGGTGGACCCTCCTTTCACTCTCCCACCACTCCTGCACTTTTCGATTTTCATTACTTGAATGCTGCATCACTTCATGCAACGTGTCTTTCTTGCTTCTGCGTGGGCTCTTTCTGATTCTTTGGAATCTTTCGGCTGGTGATAACACGGACGGCTGAGATCTCAAGGACGGCTGAGATCTGTAAAGGCAAAATGCAACACTTAACAGAGGCAGCATTGTTCACACCAGACAGAGCAATGATTCCCCCGTACTTAAGGGCAAGCACAGTCTACACAATAGCATAATTTGCCCATCCCAAAGCGAGCGCACATAACCCACGGGAGCCCCAAAATGGTGAGTAAGCACAGGGTCAAGCGTGACTGATTGTTTCACTGCTGTACTGTCCTCTGGGTTTCTGTGCCTTGGGGAGAGCCAACAGCGGCAGGGGGCCCCTATACTGAACACTGTCCCCACATTTTCCACAGGAGTTCGTCCTGGAAGATATCTCACTACTGAGGATGACCTGGGAAGCAAGGGATTCCGGGGTGTCTTCCTCCGCCTCAGCACCCTCGCTCCCGCTTTCCTCCTCCTCCCGCCTTGTTGAACTGGGCTCTGAAGTGTCCATGGTGGTACTCGGAGTGGACGTGGGGTCGCCCCCAAGTATCGCCTCCAGCTCTTTGTAGAAACAGCAGGTCGCGGGGGCAGCACCGGAGCGGCTGTTTGCCTCATGGTTTTTGTGGTAGGCATTCCACAGCTCCTTCACTTTAACCCTGCACTGCAGTGCGTCCCGGTCGTGGCCCCTTTCCATCATGTCCCTTGATATCTGCCCGAAGGTATCGTAATTCCTGCAGCTGGGACTGGACAGCTTCCTCCCCCCAAACACTGATGAGGTTCAGCACTTCGCCAT